ATATAGATAGAAAGAGATGTATATATAGGTGTATGTATAGAAAGAGAGAGTAGCATTAGAAGTGGTTGTGATGGTGGTGGTGAGGAGAAAAATGAATTGGTTTCTCTATCTTCAATGCATTTGCCAGTAGTCCATCTTTTTCTACGACTATCGCTGATAAGTACAATGACTTATAACTTCTAAAGGAATCATCAATGATAAGCTAGATGACTTATCTTATCTTGCGTGGGATGTGGGAGGTGGCGGATTTGAAATCCTTAATTCAAATATAGTTGAGTGTATTGTTTGCGTCACAGGCGGTACTCGTGTCGCATTCCTTAGTGAGTGTTTGGCACCCATTTTAATGGGAATATAAATTTTAGAATAGTGATTGATGGGAGAATGTGTGGTGGAAAAGTGATGAAAATTTTTAGATTTTTGTGTAATATTATTTTATTTGGAGAATGTGTGGTTAAAATGAAGAAAGAGAAAAAAAAATTTAAAGAGAATGGGTGCCAAACATGGGCTTAATATTTAGCTCCTTTTTTATAAAAATTATTAACATTAAAATTTTAATCTAAGAGCCTCTTTGGTATGGATTTTTGAGGGAAGAATTGATTTTTGAATAGTGATATGATGGGAAATGTGTGGTTGAAAAAGAAAAAAAAATTATTGATGTGATGGAAAATATTATTTTATTGAAAAATATGTGGTTGAAAATGAGAATTGNGTGATATGATGAGAAATGTGTGATTGAAAAAGAAGAAAAAATTATTGATGTGATAAAAAAATATTATTTTATTGAAGAATGTGTGGTTGAAAATGAGAATTGATTTACTGTAGAAAATCAAAATCCATACCAAACAAACTCTAAATCTAAATCTAAATATAAATCAATAATTAATTTTAATCACATATTTTATAGGACACGTTCTATTAACTTTTATCAAAATTTACTAAAAAATTGATTTTAATTTTCACCAAACAAGTAAATGAATGAACATCTAACCAAACTCTCTCATATACTCATTTATAAAAATAAATTGATGATTTTATCTTAGCCCCCGTTTGAGCCCCATTTTTTCCCAATTTTTTTCTCATTTTTCTCGATTTT